AGGATCCTTGGTAGGTTAATGGAGATATATCCATGTGGCTTGATACCGGTGTATGTCGGAATACAGGTGATGTAAAATATTTTGTGTCATGGGCCGCAAACGTAACAATGGCTCTCAGAGAATTTCACGAAAGCGGCTTAGCGTGTTTCATATGAGGGCACCTGAAAGTATTCGAGAGTATAAACATTTGCAGCAGTTTTGCAATCAGGTGTATCCCGAGACCAGGACCGTGGAAAAGGCCAAGGCCGCACATTGGAAACAATTCCTTGACGAGGCTAAAGGTGGACAGCTGTGGAAGGCGGCGACATACATGTGACTGAGGGAGTCCTATGCAAGCATCCCATCTCTGAAAGTGGGCGAGGAGGAACTCTCCGACAATAAAGATAAAGCTAAGGCATTCCAAGAAGCCTTTTTCCCTAAGATGGCGGAAGCAGAAGAAGAAAACATAGCACCTGCTCCAGCAGAGATACCATGGGAACTAATCACTAAAGAAGAGATCTACCAATCCCTAAAGGCTGCTAAAGGAACCACCGCCCCAGGGGAGGATGAGATACCCACCCTAGTTTAGAAAAATCTATAGAAATACCTTCAGACAGCAATTAATCACATCTTTGCCAAATTAGTAGAACTCGGGTACTATCCCAAACAGTGGAAGTAAGCGCGGATAGTGGTACTGTGGAAGCCAGGTAAACCAGACTACACAGTACCCAGGGCCTATCATCCCATCTCATTACTAAACACTCTGGGCAAAGTACTGGAGGCAGTCATGGCCTGAAGGCTGTCATTTTAGGTAGAGACCTATAAACTACTTCCAGAGATGTAATTCAGAGGTAGACCAGGATATAACACAGAGCAATCACTCCTAGTGCTCATAAATGCAGTCGACCAAGCATGGTCATAATCAAAAGTGGTCACGCTCATTGCATTTAACCTTAAGGGGGCTTTCAACAGAGTTAATAAAATAAGCCTTGATGCCCGCCTACAAGCTAAAGGTATCCCAACAAAAGCCAGGCTCTGGATCCACAGCTTTATAGAGGACCAACATGCCAGCATTAGCTTTAATAACTTCCAGATAGAGGACTCTCTGCTAGAAAATGCAGGTCTTGCGCAAGGATTACCACTATCCCTAATCCTCTTTGGATTCTTCAATTCCGATCTAGTGGAGCAACCAGTGGACAACTATAGTGGAGCATTAGTATTTATTAATAACTATTTTTAATAGCAGGTAGGTGCTTCTGCAGAGGAGAATCTTAAGATGATCTAAGAGGAGGATATCCCCCAGATTAAAGTATAGGCCTAGCGAACTGGCTCCTCTTTCACTATAGATAAGATAGAATTAATCCACCTGATAAGATCCAAAAAGGCACAGAGAGTTAGATAAATCACTATAGATAGAAAGATTATTAAACCAAGTGATAAAGCAAAGCTACTAGGCATTATCTTTAATAAAGAGATTCAATGGAAAGAATATATATAATAAGTAATTAAATAAGCTACTAAAATCAACATTACACTTAGTGGACTGAGACATCTCTATCTAGAATAGATAAGACAGCTTTATCAAGCATATATAATACCTATGATTGACTATGCATCCACTGTTTGGCATAACCTACTTAGGGACAGGACCCATCTAAGGCTACTTAGAATAGTCTAGTAAATAGCGCTGCTCCGCGTCCTCTCAGCATTAGAATGGTCTCAACCCCAGCACTCAAAGTAGAATCCTATCCCACAGGGGTTGAGAAGTCAAACAATGACTGCTCTAGGGTTTATTTGCAGCGTAGCGCTGATTGGCTGGCAGAGTGGGGAAGCTGGGAATGACTGCTCAAGACTTCATAAGAATGACTTCTTAAGGTTTTAGGGTCCATTCCAGTTCAAAATCTAGGAATTAATAGAAATGCCATTAATCTATAACAGAGCAAAGTTTTAGTATTATAGCTGCCCAGTATAGGGTGTAGCATAGTTTGGATTTAGTTATTGTGGTGGATTAAGGAACTTTGATGGGGTTTTAGGATCCACACCTAAATATTACACAGGCAGTCAACTGAACCACCCAGGTGATTAATCATATTTAATAACTCAGGGGTAAAGATGGGGTATAGAAGATAAGAGAGTGTACTTAATAAGTTTTATACTCTATCCCACAAGGGGCGGCGACTGTAGTAGAGTCCGAGCTAGGGTTTAGCCCAGAGTGGTTTAGCGGCCGGGGTATGAGGGTAGGGGCCAATGAAACAGTCTGGGGTAGGGTCGTGGCGCCAGATGGAGTCATATACATTTTAAATTTCTGCAGGTTACTGGCTGGCCAATTTCACATAATCTGACCAAATTTCAATGTGGAATTCAATAATTTGCGGCTGTGGTAAGGGGGTGGTTCAGGTGCAGAATTTTAAGGTGGTTTATTCCTACTGAATAGTGTAAATCCAAAAAGCACTGCCTATGACCACCACCATTGCTCTAGGTAAGGTCAGAGGTATTTTAAATTTAGCTAGCTCACTAATATACTAGTTCTAAGTAATCCAGTTAAATTTCAGTATCAAAATCAATGATTTACAGGCATGATGAGGGCATATTTAACCCCTAGAATTTAGTATGGTTTAAGTTCTGCAGATAGAAAAAGTAATGCATATAAACAAAATATTCAGGGGCTGAATCCCATCATTATTTAGATAGTTAGTTAAATAGTATTATATTCATCCAAACCATCCATCAAGAATGGAACAGCAGTTATTCATCCAGCTTGACCAGCCACCCATTATTATCTGCTGGTCCTGCCGCTATGGGGTGTGGCCGGCTAAGGTAGAAAGCCATCTCTGGGGGAAGGCCCATTAATTACCCTAGGCCATAGTAAAGCAGATCCATCAGGTTATTAGAGCTAGGAAGGTGTGGAGTATAACCCCTATGCAGTGTAATAGCCTAGTTAGATTGCCCAGTTAATTCCTTACCTGGATGAATACCCTAATGAGTTACAGTGCCAGCATGACCAGGCCTAATATCAATTCATCACGCAATTAATTAATAAGATAAAATGCCATTGGCATGAGCACCATGGATGGACCATACCATACTATAGGGGTTAATCATGCCCGCAGGAGCAGGAACAGGCGCAGATCACAATCCAGCAGGGGTATTAGGTGGTGACCTACCAGCAGTTTTTCCCATCCCAAAAAGGGTCCCATTATATCTGGGTGCCATGCCCCAACCAGCAGCTAGAGGAGCAAGCCTGGACCGCACCTACCGCCCACATCCAAGCCACCATCGATGCGGTGATCCAGGTATGGGAGCAGGCCCAGGCCCAGGCTAAGGCAGACCAGGCCATCCAGGCCAGCCAGCTGACTGATGCGAACCCCTGGCTGCAGATGACTCAGTGGGCTGAGTATCTGCAGGGCATCCAGGCCCATGACCTGCTAGCCTGCATGGCAGCCCCAGAGGAAGATCCCCAGGATGCCACAGAGCAGCGGGTGCAGGTAATCTAGGATACTATGGAGTAGGTCACCTATAAGAGCTAGCAGACAGTCCAGCATTGCGGCCAGGCCATCTAGGTAGAAGCCGTCTAGTCAGAAAAGGGGCAGACCTCATACCAGCTGCTACTAGCATACATAGATGAGGCTGTAGTCCAGAAGCATGTCCGTCCATGGTAGTAGATATTAGTATTTATTACCTGCACACAGGCCCTGCATGACTAGACCAGCCTAAAATACAGGATGACTGCCTGGCAGCGCCAGAAATGGCGGCAGCTGTGGCAGCTGGCTAGCCAGGCCCCAGCCCACCCCAACCCCTAGGGCAGCTAGGGCAGCCAGGGCGCAGTTCCCAGGGACCTAGAGGACCTAGAGGGATGGGCCATAACTGCCATTGAAAAGGCATGCTTAGAATTTTGCATTAAGCTGCTTAACCAGTGCCATTATAGCCATAAATATGAGAGTGCATTAGTATGCGCCATGGCTGTGTTAGGGCAGGGGGAAACTAGCTAGTGGGACCCTAAGAGCTATCTACCTATATTATCCTGCGTGATTAAGGTGGCCTGATTCATGGTGGTGTAGAAGGCATTATAGATAGACCCTAATCCATGGCAGATTATTCAGACCTAGGTGCGGAAGGACTAGAGCGCTAAATAGGTGCTAGCTAGTGTAGATAATTAACTTAGGGAGATTAATGAGGGATATAGTAGTGATGACCCCCTATCTATCCTAGGGCCCCCATTATTGCCCCTGTCATCCATCTATAGTAATAATTTATTGCCTGTGGTCAACATTCGCCTGAGCCACTAGCCATTCTAGAAGTAGGTAATATAGATAATGCACTAGTTTATAATCTATAGGACCTATAGCCCTATGGAAATATTACTAGACTAGTATATATATAAGTTAAAGATCTATTATAATTATATAGCCCCCGGCCATGTGATATAGATGGGGGAAGACTAACTATTATATTAGTAGATAGTATTTACTATAGGGGATTTTCAGGGGTTTATCTATGGATTAGTAACCATGGCTTAGGAGATCCTAGGCTATTTATGCATGCTAGATTATGCATAGATACCCCTCATTCCATGGACAGCATTATATAATGATCCCAGCCAGAGCCAGGCTGGGTAGAACTTTGTGCAGGATGCATGGACCCAGTGGCTAGTGGATAGGACCTACTAGATGATTAACTAGCTGCAGGCTAAGCCAGCCATGCAGTAGTATTTTATATGGGGGGGCTAATTCCACCCTAGTGCCATCTAGTAGTACTAGTAGCGCGTGGCCTAGTTTAAGGAGAAATTAGCCATTATAGTGCATATCATAGTAGGGCAGCCAGCCTAGGCCCCTAAGTTATTAAGCATTCAGCATTATAACACAGCAAATAGTTAACAGCAGAATATATATATTAAGGATGGCATGGTAATATTTATGATAGCATATCATAAGGGGTTCCACGCTAGTAATAATATGAAGATCATCCATTGATATATGCCGCGGGAGGTAGGGGAGTTGGTAGTATGGTATATCTAGCTGGTGATGCCATTTATCAACCAGTTGGCTGCATGGCAGGCCGCGCAGGCTGCACGGGGGAGCCAGGCTGCGCAGGTTAACCAGGCGTCACAGGGGAACCAGGCTGCGCAGGGAAGCCAGGCTGCGCAGGGGAACCAGGCCATGCAGGGGAGCCAGGCTGCGCAGGGAAGCCAGGCTGCACAGGGGAGCCAGGCCGCGCAGGCATGGTTATGGGGCCCTGACCCCGGTACCGGCCGCGAATGGTTGTCCAAGCGGTTCTAGGAGGCGTTGAAATGAGAAACCTGCACCTAGTTAGGCACCACCATCCATATCACGGCATACCAGGACATCACCATTGGCATCAGCTACTAATTTTTATGGCCATCCACCATGTTCCCCTATAATATCCAGGAGGCCAGGCCGGCCCTAGCTACCATAGATACCAATGCCAAGGAGGGCATGAATATTAAGTAGTGGATAAGCCATATTACTGATTTATAGGCTGCCTATTCATCACACATTGCTAGCATGGTATATGGCTATATTATGCAGGAACAGGCCAGCAGCACAGCCCACCAGTGGGAGATGTTCCAGTTATCCAGCACTGATTAGCACCAGTTTTTAGGGTTTAGCGCCCCAGGCCACCCATCCATATTAGGCAAGTGCAGACAGGCCCTATGGGAGGATGAGGCTAAGGTTAGCTGCATGGAACACCGCCACTAGTTAGCCATTATGGATCTGGAGGTGGCCGCGCAGCGCATGACCAGGCAGCCCGACATGCAGTTCTGGGGGGTCCAGGACCTAGCCATGCAGGCTATCCAGCAGGGGGAGAGCCCTGTGGTGGCAGTCATGCCCACTAGTAGGGGAAAGAGTATGCTATTCATAGTGCCTGTGTTTACTACCCCTAGGGGCACTATTATTATTATAGTCCTGCTGGTCATATTATAGGCTGATATAACACAGCGGTGCTAGGAGCTCAGCATATTATATATACTATGGGAGAGCCAGCGGCCCCCTAATGCTACATCTATTATATTGGTGACGTCTGAATCCATGGTGAGCCCTAATTTCTAGATATTTTTGAACCAGCTGCAGTAGACCCAGCAGTTAGACCAGATCATGATCAATGAATATCATATAGTGTTAAATTCCCAGCATAATTTCTGGCCCCAGATGGCCTAGCTGGGCTGGTTAGTCCAGGCCTGCACCTAGATGGTATGGTTAACCACCATATTGCCCCCAAGCATGGAGGCTAAATTATGCTAACAGATGAAGCATGACCAGGTAGCTATAACTATATACTAGGCCTGGACCAGCCAGCCAAACATGGCATACTGGGTGTGGTGGCTAGATATGACTAGGGTGGGCTAGGGCCTATATAACTAGATTAAGAGTAAGGCTGTGGTGGCATTTATTCAGGACCACATTCAACGGGCCGCTGGGGGGAAGGTGATTATATATATAAATATCATTAGGTAGGTGATGGCCATGGTGCAGGTGCTCAGGTGTGAGGCATATTACAGTGAGCAGTTAGACAAGGCTGGGGTGCTAGTGTGGTTTATAGGGCCTAGCCCAGTGATCACTACCACCAGCGCGTTAGGCATGGGGGGGTGAACATCCCTAATATCCACAGCATCATCCATATTAGGACCCCCTGGACGTTACTAGATTATGCCTAGGAGAGTGGCTGGGCTGGGCAGGATGGACAGCACAGCGAGGTGATCATTATCTAGCTAGCAGGGTGGGATGCCCTGGTGCCATGGATGGAGGGGGTGGCCCCTGAGGACCAGGAGTAGGTGGCAGAGTATATAGGGGTGGTGGAAGGGGTTAGCTGCCACTAGGTAGTGTTAGATCAGTATTTAGATGGAGTGGTGGACGGGTATTAGCAGCAGTATTGCTAGGATGTGGATGCCGGGGAGCAGGCATGTAATGGGTGCGATCCTGACTGGGAGGGGCAGGAGGTGGATCCAGCCAGGGTTAGTAGCAGCCTAGTAATGGTATCGTGCGCGGAGTCCACGTTTGCCATACTAATTACAGGTGACCATAAGGTCTAGTGAGCGCAGAGTCCATGTTGATTCCCATCCACTCTGGAGTCCATGGGTCCCCACTATCCTGCCTTGGCAGAGTCCATGTCTTACTCCTAGAGTCTATATTTCCCCCTAAACTTTTTTTTTTTTTTATCTATTTTTCTTTTCCCCTCCGCTGACTCTCCCCGAGCCACCAACCATCATGTAGTGGAGGTTTAATTTTAATCAAGTCTTAATACTATTACTATTACTATATATATATGTGTTAGAGTTAAATGTCTATAAGAGGTTTCATAGTTATCTATAATTCATAATTTATAATTTATAATAATAGTTAATTAACTCCTTATCCTAGTGATCTATCCTATATTAAATCACATTCTATTCTCTAGTATAGTTTACTTCCTAGTTATTTGTCCCATCTCCCTCTAGAGAGTTAATCCTCCTAAAGTTAAGTTATAGTATGCCCTTGAAATTATATCTCTAATTAAGGGGGATAGTAGCTAAAGTAATTATAGATGCCTCTCTCTCACAGCCTAGTATCCTACAGTCATGCCTTGGGTAAAGCTGTCCATTAAGTCAATCCACTATCTACTCCTACGCAGAATATAATGATTAAGTATTTAAGTATAATCAGGATCATTACAGTAGAGGAAGAACCCAGCTAATTAAATTATAAGGTGTGCAAGGTATAATATAGTTAAGGGGGATCTTACTTATATTTTATTTAAAGCTAGTGCTTCCACTACAGGGGGAGAGTATAGGAATATATATTTCTAAAGATTAATACTGTTAATAAATTTTTATTCCGTGACCCCCCACCATAGGGCGCATAAGTTAACTATTTAAGGGCTGGTGGCAAATATTTCCTTATAATAAACCAGGCTCTGCCTATAAAAGCGAAGATCTATCTAGAGAGAGAGAAATAAGAAATAATAAACTAGGGTATTTATACTATATTCTGAAAATCATTACCACCCATCTCCTTATCATTTATATATGCTCATTAATAACCAAAGCCCTGAGGCCAATGGCACTAAGAGAAAGAAAGAAAAAGGCTAGTAGTTAGTCTATAAAGCCTTATAGTTGCAAGGTAGTTAAGTAATGAAGAATGTAGTAGATAAAGGCTGTGTAAAAAGGCCACTAAGGCTCCTATGGTGGTAGTGTAGTTAATAAAGACAAAAGGGGGGTGAGAAAAAAAGCTATATAGAAGGGCCCTAATGCTTCTATTTATGGTGGGGTAGTGGTAGTGTAGTTACTAAAGATAAAACAGGGGTGAGAAGAAAGCTATATAGAAGGCCCCTGATGCTCCCATAGTGTGGTAGTGTAGTTAAAACCAGGGGCAAGAAAAAAAGCTATGCAGAAGGCCCCTAATGCCTCCCATCCAAGGTGGTAGTGTGTAGTGTAGTTGACTGATGAAGATAAAACCAGGGGCTAGAAAAAAGCTATATAGAAGGCCCCTGATGCTCCTATAGTGGTAGTGTTGTTAACTAATGAAGATAAAACAGGGTAAAAAGCTGTGTAGAGTGATTTATGGCCCTTTTAGCCCTAGCTAAAAAGTAAGGGCCGCGCCCCTGATTAGAACTTATACTGAGTAGGCTTTCGCTGGCGCCTGGGGTGCTTGGCTACTACTATTAGTGCTATAGCATCATCAGTCCTGGCCAGGGAGAGCAGTGCATGGGTAGAAAGTAAAGGGAAAGAGAGAAGAGAACTTACTAGATAGTGCCTTGTATTTCTGTTGAGTCCCCTGCTGACCCTGCTAGCTGGGTGGTGGTGCAGTGACTTGGGGAGGTGTTCCAGGGCTGGACTGGCCAGAAGGAGTATTAGTCTAGTAGAGGGAAGGTGATAGGCAGCAGGGCCTGTTTAGACTGCTAGGGGAGCTCAGCAGGGAGCTTAGTGGTGATATCTCTCTAGATGATACTAGCGGATTTGGATTTGACTAGCTTAGTAGTGGTGTGCTCAGAACAACCCCCCGGCTTATCTGGAGCAGAGATCTTAGTTATGTTGCCCGACCCTGGAAATCCACTGTTAGAGCCTACAAGACGGCTCCGACCGACCCCGCCGGGCGTGTTCCTACACCTTCCGGCACCCCCCTCCCTGGTGATGGCATCCCGCTGGGACCGCCTCCCCCGCCGTCCGGGCAGGATGATCTGGGCATCGCTCAATCCGTCTCGTCGCGGGGCATCCGACCATGCCCATCACCGGTGCCAGTGCCCCCGGGGTGACTGTGAAACCAGTGTGCACCCATCAGGATCGGCTCTGCCGACCAGTTCTGCTGAGGGCACTGCTCCCCACCAACATGGCACCACTTCACCAGCAGCTAAATCTAGGCTGTCTGCATCACCTAGTAGACCCCTCCCTGGTCTGGTCCCTGCGCGACCACTGGCTTGGAATGTGGTACCAGCTGGAGTGTGGAATCCCACCGCGCGGGTGCCCTGCTGTGATAGTGATATATATCTCTGCATCCTACCTTGGTGGGGACTGCGTGCTGGCTGTCCCCTCGCCCGAAGCAGCCTAAATGGATGATTTTACCCAGTGATCTGGCTACCTCCATCATCCCTGGGCCCCTATTGCCCACCAGAATCCCTCTCCTAGACTGTGCATGGCTGACTATGCCGCTGGGGTCCCCATTGGAGGGTTCTCACAGGGATCCCACCCCCGGGGCTAAACGCGGTAAGCATAGGATCCACTGGACCTATAGTAGCCGCTAGTAATGTCCCACTCTGGCCCTCGCCGGCCGCAGCTGCTGGTGAGGACCCCGACCACTCACTGTGCTGGATCTTCCATAACAGCAGCAGCCAGTGACAGTGTAAGCTAATCTACACACAGCACCGCGGCCCCTGGCCTGTTAGTGGCAGTGATTAGTTAATAGGTATAAATATTAACCTGGATTGCACGAAAGTCCCCAGCCCTGGACCACTGTGGGATCCAGAGAGAGTGGGTGGCAACTTAACTAGTCTACATAGCCTATCATCTACACCTGGCCTGGCCGCACTTGAGGTCCCTTAATGGGGCTAACTGGGGCCATGGACTAGAGGACCTAATACTAATAGATCCTACTGGATCCCTAGATGAAATAGGACATAACCAAGGCTAGGAAAAGGAGGGAAAAAAAAGTAATGCTTCCTCTTCTAGGCTGCCTAGACCACTGCCCTAATAACAAGATAAAGAAAAAGGGGGGGGAGGTATATGGCCTAGATATACTCTTAAAAGGCACTAGCCCTAGCTAGCTTTGCCCTTAATGCACCTATCCTCTCTTTCTACCCCTCCTTTATTATTACTACTTAGCTCTTAGATGTATGGCCACACCACTGCTGCCATTGGATAGCCCCTAATTATCCACCACAACTGTGCTACCCCTATATGACTACCTCCAGGACTATAATGCCATCATCTGCCAGGCATGTGAGGTGGTGGTCCCTGGCTACCTAGTGTAGTGACATCTCCAGGAGGTCCACTGGCTGGCAGCCTGGGACTATCATCTGTAGCTCCGTGCGCTGCCCAGGGGTGTGCAGCCCTAATAGGATTATATAGACTTCCTGCCCCTGCCCTCTAGTAGTGAACTGATCCCCCAGCTCCCTATCCACCGCGTCTGGTGCTGCTTCACATGTGGGACCTACCTTAGTAGCAGTACCTGGCGGGTCTGGGAGCACCACTACTGGGACCATCCTGGAGTCTGCCCACCCCCGCCCTGGCAGGTTAGCGCCTAATGGTGGTTTATAAATAGCTGCTACTGCTGCTACTAGATCATGGGGGTCCCCAGTGCGCAGCTACAGGACCCCCTGCCTGTGCAGCCTACCTCTGCTGTCACCACCCCATCCCTGTCCTGGATGATGCAGCCCATCCCAGCCCTAACTAAGCCCCTGACTAAGCCCCTGACTGAGCTATCTGCCCTATAACCCACTAATGAAGCGCCAGTGAGCAGTAATAGCTAATCTAGGGAGTAAGCCTCTGGTGGACTACCCTGCCTATAGTCAGTCTGGTCAGCGCCCGAAGGAGTCAGGGTGGACGATAGGGGGGATGAGGGGGACTAGCTAGGTATGGTCCTGATCAGTGATGATGGATGGATTATAACAGATCTAGATAGGCCACTAATAGCTTGCATATCTCCCCTTATACAGGAGCACCCAGCAGCTCCTGCTATACCTTGCCAGGAAGCTGAAGGCCTAATGATAGGTAGTAGCCCTGGGGGCGCGGAGTCCAGCCTATAGGGTCTACCTGTAACTATTATGCTGGGAACCCCCCAGCCATCCGCCCTATTAATGGCAGGCCTTATGACCACCTTCCCTATGTCCACCACCCTAGAATGGGTGCAGAACGCCCTTACCTAGGAGTATTAGATCCTCCAGGCAGAGCAGCATTGGCTTTGGCCACTAGTGGCCTGTCCAGAGGGGTCTACAGAGCTGGCTACTGTAGATAACTCTGTCTTTATCCACTATGTCCAGCGCTAGCAGCAGGATGATACCACCCTGTGGCTAATATTTACTAAATAGCCCTGATACTTCCACTAGCACTTACTACTTAGCCTGGTCTGTATAATGGGGACCCTAGATACCTTATAGGTCCTGCCTGCACTGCAGGCACAGTGGGGTGGTAGTGGGGGATCCTCACCCACCACTATAAAAGAGCTGGAGATGCAGCACTAATATAACCATATTCTTACCCTTATCTACTGGGGGATGGACTGGGTCCTTAACCAGGCCTAGGTAACACTAGAGCAGACCTATATATTAATCTAGGAGGTCTTTAGCTGCTACATCCCTGGTTAGTAGATGTAGAAATGACCCCTAGGATGGCTGCAGCCAGAGATGGAGCAGTAGTATATATAGTACTAGAAATAGTTCCTGTGCTTCCTTCTCTGGGCCATTTCCCTCTTGCATGAGGATTAGGGCTATCTGCTTAGGGTCCATCTGGATAAGGAGTAAGAGTGCACGCTTAAAATCCTATAGCAGACTCTTAACTGCTATCTGGAATGCCCTGACCTTGATGTCTAGATAGATAAAGAGAATCCCTTCTGAGCCTAGCTGTGGCTTGCTGGCTGGCAATAATGGCTGGCTGCTTGACTGGACACAGCTATTAAGCAGGGATAACCACTGTGTAGACCCTGCAAGGCCATAGCTACTCTGCCATTAGAGGCCCACCTCCCATCCCTAGGGGCTAGGTGGCGGTCTACTAAGCACCCTTGCTCTATGGTATGTCACCTACCTAGTAGTAGTAAGTCTGATTACTCTCTAAGCCTGCACTCCAGTCCCCTAGCCTATCTATAGCGTGACCATAAGTAACCCTGGTTAGACTGTCCCCTTTGGGCGGAGGCACTAGTCCTCTAGAGAGCTATGGCAGTCTATATCCCTGTCTACTTAACTATTAAATCCCTGGCCTGGGGTTCTATGCACAGCTCTAGTATTACTAAGCTAGATTCTAACCTTACCATATTACATTGCTCCCCCAGAACTAATAGCAATCATTCTAGTACTAAGGTTGCAGAGGCTACTATAAATAAGACTAGGAGTGTCTATTCTAGCAGTAATATAAGTGATATAGAGGAGACGGAGGAGGATGAGAGGGGGCTAGAAGAGAAGGAGGTAGATAAGGAGGATAAAGATAAGGATGAGGATGAGGATAGGTCCTCCCTTAACCTAGATAAGCTACTGTGAGGTTCCAAAGTATTAGATAGTGGATCTGACCCTAGCTAGGGGGAGGCCGCCCCTGAGCATCCCTTCCCTAGTTAGTTCCCAGCCTTACCAGCAGCCACTAAGGAATGGATTATAGAGGTGCTCTTCTCCCTCTATATTAGTTGCCTGATAACTAATACTATCTATTAGTGTAGGGATAAGTTTCATTCCTCCCTGGTGGCCTTTACTATGGTGCTGGGGATCCAGCCCTAAAATTACAGTTTCTATGAACCATACTACTATACCACTAAGCTAGTAGGTATTATCTAGGTTAGTTGGCTGCTCCTGCTAGAATATGCATTGCTAATCTGCGGCTACTGCTTTATTAGTGATGTCCTGAGCTAGGACACATACTGCTTCCATGCCAGACATGCCCAGCAGATCTAGGGGATCTATAGTGCCTAGGACACATTCTTCCCCCTGAATAATATCCTTACCATGTTAGCGGCGGGGCTAACCATCATCTACAATAAGCTATGCCTGGGGACCATCTAATGGTCCCCTAATCTACAGATGGTCTACTATTACTAGCTACTAGATAGCGGGCTGCCTCTCCCCTAGCTATACTGATGGGTCCAGCAGGTTATTAAATTGGCCATAGCCCTGCTAGAGCGTGACCTCCTTCTCAGCTATAGGTCCCCAGTGGATGTATGATTGCTGGTGGATGACCTAGTGGAGTATTAACCTGGGTTCTCCTTCCTGGATATATGTGTTAACTAGCTCCAGCCTATAGTAGCACTGATCCTATGCCTGGTAGAGAACCCCCCTGGGGGTGTAGGCCCGCTGCACCACCATAGGCAGTGGGACCCACCAGCCATCCAGTGCTATCAGCAATCCATGTAGATGTTCCTGCAGTAGCTAATACTTACTACCTAGCTCTCCTAAGGGCAGCCTAGTTATGGTAGTAAGCTTATAATAGTGAAATAGTAGAACACCGCCATTGCCCCGTGGAACCTATACATCTATAAGGGGTAGATGGTGATTATTACCTATGACTATAAAGCCTAGGGCTGCACTATGTAATAATATATCTATGCCTAATTCCTTCCCCTATCTATTAGCTAGCTAGTGCTCCTGTATCTACTGCATGTATGCCTATTCATAGTAATACTGGTGCCTGTTGCTCAGGAGCACAGCCCCTAACATTACTAGTAGGCATAGTGGGAGGCATAGAACCCAGCTAAGCTATAGAATATAGTGGATTACTTTATAGAGCTAAGTAAGCAATAGAGCTCCTGTGATCTCTTTACTGCACTAGGATCCTAATCCCCTAGAAATCTAAGACATAGGCTATACGGGCAGCTACTCTAGCAGAGTAGCTATAAGTTCTTTAGTTACTTTACCTTGAAAGCTCTGCCCTACCGCCATCTAATCATTGTAATTACTAAAAAGCATCTAAAGGTAAAGGCAACAGTGGCAGACCTACACTCTGCAGTAGCAGCCCTTGATAGTATCTTTACTGCCCAGGCTGGCTATAGTCCTGCTATTAACCACTAGATCTATGATGTGGAGGAGTCCCAGCCCTTTCAGCCCCTGCTAGAAATACTATATCTATATTAGTACACCTCCCATCAGTAGCACTAGTTCATCCTAGCACTAGTGGAGGATCCACACCTAGCCCTAGTCTCTAAATCACCATCTATGTCTAGTCCAGGGCCTAGGCAGCTGCTGACACTGCTGGACTAGATACCATAGCATAGGGTCTACTAGCACTAATTACTCCCATGGGATTTCTTCTATTTCTATCTATAGTGGCATCTACTGCTCTATAGTTAGTGCTACTAAGCAGTGGTGTAGATCTCTGCCTAGGATCACCTCTAGGCCTATTATACACTTAGTATTACCC